GGAATCCCGCGCTACCCTCTGCGGCGCTTGTTGACGTGTCTATACAGCAACTTGGGAGTCGTACTAAATTTCGCTGCTAACTTCTGTTGGTGCTGAACTTTGTCTTCGCGGATCAACTTGACGCAGTGGTTTCGTTGAGTTGTGTAAGCACCCCAGGTCAGGTTATTTGGACAGACTTTGTGAGCGCGCCAGGCGATGCATATTTTAGTACGGCTCCTCAGAAACGAATTCACTTGCTTCGGGCGAAGGACTTTGCTTCCTGACGCATTTGTCACTAACTCAGTGAATTGGGTGACGAACAACATCTAGCCGACATCAGGCGGCTTCTCGGCCAAGAAGGACCAGTCGGTTTCGTGAACGAGGTTGGATAATATATCGTAGTGTGTAACGACATAGGTTTCCACCTCGTTCTCATTGATGTACTCCGAGTAACAGATGTAACGAATGAGCAACATCGCTTGATCGCTACGACCGTATGGTACACCTATGGTCACGGTGTCGACCATTAGTTCCTCGTCGGAGAGCACCAGGTCCAAAAGAGAGGGTGTGTGATCCGTTCGGAATCGCGTGGAAAAGGTGACATGGTTGTACAGTCGTACATCGGCAATCACATTTTCGCAAATCAGCATTGAATTGTTCGCTGTGCTATGCTAGAATTTCGATTGCGTGCAGGTTGAAATCCCCCACTAGAAGGATGTGCTTGTGTGATCTTGCCAGGTCTCGTTTCATCACATAAGCTAAGCATTGATCCATTTCTAAGGTGGACATTTGAGGGCGGTAAACTATTGTTAGTAAACACAAGTCACTATGTCTTAGATGCATACGACACCAAAGAGAATCGACGACTTTAGTTGTTGGGTCCTCCATGATATCAACATGCAGGTCGGATCGATAATACAGGAGCACTCACCCTCCTCTGCTAGGTCGATCGTTTCGTATGGAAGTCATGAGGGGTAGTGCAATCTTAGCATTCGTGATCTCCGTGTTCAGCTATGTTTCAGTGACCATAACTAGGTCCCAAGATGTGGAGACCTGATGAATACGAAGTTCGGTTAGCTTTCTGAGGAGACCTTGTGCACTGGTGGTGCACAAGCAGGTGATGGCATCGGTCGTCAGAAGTGTGTTTGTGACTGCCGATTTCCCGTGAGGGTCTGTGCCGACTCATATGGAGTCAGCTGCAGGTGGTTTTTTTGTAGGACCAATGACGCAAATCCCAAGGCCAGTTCAGCTTGTTGTATAGAGCTCTCATCACCAACAAGTGGGTGATCATTCTGTCCTCCTTCAGCTGTCAGTGTGTTTTGGCATTGTTACCATTCTGAGCTACACGGTGACAGAATTCTATTGATAAGTTGCTTTCTCAGTGTTACATTGTCTATCTGTGGCCCGGTGCCTATTGCCTTTATACGTATTTCGGAGGACAGCATTTTTACGCTTTTTGTGCTACCTTTTGATTACATGTTCTGCCATCAGTTAGGAGTGCAATGATACTTTCATCACTCGAGGACCACACCCTTTGTAGTTAGGTGATAGCGGTAACCTTGATGTCGAATTAGCGATAACATTTTCGAGTGACTACTCCAAGAATAAAACGCCGTTCATCCGAGTCATGCGCTTTGACCTCTAGCTCGCTTAGTGACTAGAGCTCGGGGACACCGTGAATAAGGATAGGTTTTACGTCTTGTTGTTTATGGAAGTCATCCGGATTTTGTTTGCGTTTCTGGCATTCGCTCCAAGGAACATCTGGAAATATTCGAACAGTGCATGTGGTGATACGAAGCAAGTGGCTGACAAGAGAACTGCCTCTACATCATTACCTGACTGAAGTGTTACCTGGAGTAACCGCTTTTCAAAGTAGTGTACAGAGTTTGCGTGACGGATGAGATGCATCATATTGACTGGTTTAGCTTGAACCCTATTAGTTGACACAGGGAGGCCCAGTATATTTTATCGTCTAGTATCTTATCTTTCCTGGAGTTCGTCTCGGATTCGGTCACATTAGAGCAAATAACAGTCGGAGAATTATGGTACTGTTTCATGTTTTTTTTGGAGGGACTAATGGCTGCTTTCATCAGTTGGACAGCTGCTGGGGTCTTGAGTCCCATGGTGGTTTTGGGAGTATTAACTCATTTGGCAGCTGGCAGGGTCGCAATGAGAGGTGCATCCGTCATATGGGTAGCAACACCGGACGCGTTGGTAGTCGGCCCTCTAACAATGTTTAGTGTCAGAACAAATGTTAGCGAACAAGCTCGTTTTCAGTGGTTCCTCGTCAAGCTAATACACCATAAATGAATGACATGAACGTAAACATCAGCTAAGGGTGCAGGTTCAAAACCCAGATGGTCTGAGTGATCAAGCTAGGCGATTGGCCCAACGGCGATCAGCAGTTTGTTTGTTTGTTTGTGTGGCGTCGTCCACACTATGTGTCCGTGTTACAGGGTAGAGTTAGTGCCTGGACAAAAAAGAAGAAATTTGTCCAGGCACTAACTCTACCCTGGTCCCCTGTAACACGGACACATAGTGTGGACGACGCCACACATACACAAACAAACTGCTGATCACCATGGGGCAAATCGCCTAGCTTGATCGCTCAGACCATCTGGGTTTTTAAGCTGTACCCTTAGCTGATGTTTACGTTCATGTCATTCATTTGTGGTGTATTAGGCTGATGGGGAACCACTGAAAACGAGCTTGTTCGCTGACATTTGTTCTGATGTCTACTCCCGGGATATTTTATCAGTGTTTATTGTGGCGGATGATTCTGTTGAGGAATATGTGACGAACGCATCTTTATGAACAACCGCTAGTGTCTGGGTGACTAACTAAATAGTTACTCTAACACTGTTCTGAATTGGAGCTTGATGTTGTGCATCGAGTTCAAGGCACTGATTCGTTTGGTTTATGTGGGGCAGCTTTCACGGCTACTGCTTGCTCTACAATATTTGTCAGCGTATCGCACTTCTGCTCCAACACAGTTATACACCTGACGAGTGGAAGAAACGTACACTCAGTGCATAACCAGAGAGAATCGGTCGTATTATTAAGTATTTTTATCTGGCTGAGACTAAGGCGAGCACATCGAGAATGGAAGTATTTTCGGCGGTTTCTGCATTCCAAATCGCACAAGTTTTACACGGCTGTCTACATCACAACCAACGTTTACTTCGGAAGCTTTGGGCTTAGCTTTCTGTGCGCAAACAGTACGTGCTATTGTGACTGTCAGATCGGCGGAAGTTGTTCTTTGCAACGTCTACACTGGTATACTGAATCCAAACGCTGTCGGTCAAGCTTGTTGTCTGGCAGACACCGGTTAGATCGCTGTAGGACCAATCCAAGATGGCGGACACAGATGGCACTTGGGCAAATCAATGAGATCTCCGACAGTAGCCCGAGAATATGCACCAAATTCGCACAGACGGAAAAATAGAACAACGGCAAATTATTGGTGCACAATTCACACAGATAAAAACGTATGACACAGTATTCACAAAGCAAAACTGGAATCCAGCACAGTAAATCAAAAATCCTCGGCGTCCATGGGTACAGCAGAAAGAGTACGTAGATACAGCACTGGCAAGGAATATGCTAAATTCCGTAGACGCAATCATTTTTCGTAGTCGACATATGCTCTGAGGCGAAAATTGCCCTATTTTAAGCTTACCATTTTTACAGCTTGCGAGCCCCATCTGATTTCTTTTGCTTTTGACGACAGCAGATAACCTGATCTTTAAGTGATCAGAGTTACCAATCAGCGCCTGACTGCACACAAAAAACAACTTTGCATTGTTTGTAAATATAAGGTCTAAGGTTGCTACAAGTCTAGTGGAAGTGGTTACAAACTTTTGCAACCAGTGATCAGTGAACAGAAGCGTTTAAGTGTGTTTTAACTTAGATGGCGATTTAAACTTAGGCACTACAGTTTCACCTTTACATTGACGTTCTCTGATAAGTAAATATAAGTTTTTAACTTGTCTCCGCCATTGAACATTTCTTTCTTATCAATACTGTGTCTGTATACTCGGTACCAGTGTTATGCGATAACCATATCTCGTACTCACCTGGCCCATTCACCATAAATTCTCATTCACGAATCCCGCTAGGCTGACGGTTCCAAATTTAACAACGTCGATAGAACGGACACAAAAGCAAAAGATGTTAACCAGAACTGTACTGACCCGTAGCCTAAAGGTAACGAGCTTGTCTCGTAATCTGACGGCGCGGGTTCGAGGCTGCGCAGGGACAGGACGACCCTCACAGTATCCTTAGTCCACGTGCGACCGGTGATGGTTGCGCGGCGGCGAAGCGTCGGTACTGCATACCGGCTTACTGTTGATATCTCTCATCCTTTCTAACAAGTACCGTGAGATAAACGGACCATTTAAGTTTTACGACAGCAGCCATGATGACTAAGCCACTGAGTTCCGTTTACAATTGATATCACATCATCCATTGATTCACCGTTAAGCATCAGCTTACTCGTTGTTTAGAACAAAATCCATTTGTGGGCACGTCGTGTTAGCTGATAAAGGTGTATTCTTATGCAGTCCGTTTGCCCTAACTTCATAAGTTTGCGCCTTAATTGATAATACCTAAACGTTGTTGTCGTTTGCCATGCAGTTTGACCAGTTGCGTTTGGTGTATGCTTGGAACACGAGGTCTGCTCTACAGCACTATCCGTCTTGCGCAATTTGTTGTGCCCAATATGCTATTGCGCAGTGCAGCGACATGCACACATTACACAAAAGTGTGTTGAACCAAAGCAAAGTACGACTATATGGATCACCATCGCCCGCAAATTTGACTTCACACCACCTTAGTCTGAGAAGGTTGCTGAAGAGCGCACCAGATGGGTATGTTTAACCGTTTGGTTTTTCCTGTCCTCAACATTGTAACGTTTATCCATGGGGGCTCTCCATCTGTACCGCTATTAAATATGAAAACCGACCAATATGTCGGAGTTGTTTACTTCGCCACCTCATGTAAATTCGCTTTTGTTTTTCCAGTGATTATTCCGAACCAAACAACGCTACTTATGGTGAGTTTTAACTGCTTATCCTTCTATATGGCTGAGAGGTGAACCGAGAACTGATTAGGCACATGTTCAACCCACGTTAAAGGTTTAGCAGACACTTGGAGTAGGGTACAATTTACAGATTAGACCATCAGTTTGGAGTATCAATCGAAGCTACATATGAATACGTTGGCTCTACGTAAACAGACCACAATCAGATTTCAGTTGGTTGGATAAATGGCTAAAGTTTAATCATGACTTCTACTTTCTACGAACATTACACTACTCACAAACATCCACATGAAGTCTCTAAAAATTATGATGTGAGGCGAAGGTTCAGTTAAAACCCAGCCATCCATTATGTGGCCCAGTGCTAGTGTCTGAACGCCACTAGACCGGAAAATATAGTGCTGAGGCACAAACTGGCGTTGCATGAGGGGAAGCCACTCGACAATTATTGACTGTGGAAGGGATTGCATCACTTCAATCGTTGTCACATCTCATGTGCATCTATATGGTATGCACTTTGGACCTCAGGTATACTAGGTACAGGTGCGTCACAGCCTGTGCTCAAAACCAAAATTCAAACACTAGAAGCTATTAGCTTTACACGCAAATTAAGTGTCAAACTGTAAAGGGTTGCTCGTAACTTGTGGAACCACCTAGTGCACAATACCGCTGCCCTTAATCTGTCCTCATTTTGAATCATCGTCGCAGCGTAATGGGCTATCATCTCAGACCGAATCGATTATGGCTGTTTGGGCCTCTTACTTTCACCAGGTCATTCAATGTTTGTTTGTGCCTTTTTTCGATGACAGTCCAGAGACCGGCTTCGTGTTTGGGTTCAGAAACCAGCTCCTCCTCACTTTGCTGCTGATATTCCTTCCATTCGACGATTTTATTAACATTTAAAATTTGTTCTCGTTTATATTACCTTTGACCATATTCAGTTCAAAATGGGATTTTGAGAGTCCACTGCATGAACACACGGTGCTCTATGATGCCTACTGAGCGAGCATCATCACCTGCTATACGACAGCTGCTAGATGTATGAACATGTTTACCTATGCGAACGGGTGCATCGGTTTGTCACAAAGTGTTAACACAGTTAGGCCATCCAGTGATATGATTAGTTGATATAAACATATCTAAACAACGTGACCGAGAACAAAATTCTTGTTATTTTTTTACCATTCTTCACCGAATTCACTTGATGAGTGTTTGTACCGAGCGCGCCGTTGTGTGCGCTTTTCGGAAATCATTTCCTCGACTATCACTCTAGTCTGACTGTGAGTGCTCTTGTTCCTCAAGTACGAGCCTTCCAGCGGACACATAATAACAATAATAATACATATAATTGGAGGGTCAAGTTTGGATTACTCGTTGTGTGATTAGATTGCGACAAGCAACCTCAATTTAATAGACTGTGATTCACATTGAAATGAACCGTAGTCAATGCGATCCATGGGACCGTATTCAAAGTAGATGGAAATTGGGTATTGCCCACCCGAAAACACTGCACAACCATGACGCGTTTCGATGTAATTTTTCATCTCATCAGGTGGAGACAGCAGGTTGCGTGTCGCAATCTAATCACACAACGAGTAATCCAAACTTGACCCTCCAATGAGTCATCTACCGTTGTGACAAAAAGCATTGCCCATCGTGACCCGGTAGCCAAAGGGGTAGTAGTGTTGGCTGCTATTCCAATGGTCCTGGGTTCAAATCCTGCTGTCTCCACCTGATGAGATGAAAAATTACATCGAAACGCGTCGTGGTTGTGCAGTGTTTTCGGGTGGGCAATACCCAATTTCCATCTACTTTGAATACGGTCCCAGCGATCGCATTGACTACGGTTCATTTCAATGTGAATCACAGTCTATTAAATTGAGGTTGCGTGTCGCAATCTAATCACACAACGAGTAATCCAAACTTGACCCTCCAATTAGTCATCTACCGTTGTGACAAAAAGCATTGCCCATCGTGACCCGGTAGCCAAAGGGGTAGTAGTGTTGGCTGCTATTCCAATGGTCCTGGGTTCAAATCCTGCTGTCTCCACCTGATGAGATGAAAAATTACATCGAAACGCGTCGTGGTTGTGCAGTGTTTTCGGGTGGGCAATACCCAATTTCCAATAATACATATATTTCACTCAATGAGAGACACTGTAGTTGCACAGATCAATTTGTAGAGAAGTATCCATGCTCTTGTATGGGTGACATGCATAGGTAGAGTATTAGGATATGTGTTTCATGTATTACCATTCTGGCGGATGATTGATATCAAAGCCTAGGTATAACAACTTTGGTGCTTATATGTTTTTAGGCGCCTCTTGGTATAACTCATTGAGGGATTTTTCCTATGTGAATATAGAAATAATGGTAGTTAGATCTAGGTAATTGGCGAGTCTACTTCTAAATGTTGCCACATTATCACATGACCTGAGTGTTATAGGTAATTTATTCCACAGATAGCTATATCTGATCAGGAAGAAATTAGAGTGGATGTTCATTCTAGCCTTCGGTATATTCAGTGTAAAATCTTTGTTGCAAAGCGCTCGAGTTGAGCAATGTTGCAAATTGAGTGTCGGTAGGTTGGAATAAATCTTTTTGTGTAGCACGTTGAAAAGCAGCAACAAGTTGTGCTTCAACCGCCGAATCCAAAGTGGTTCGAAATGAATTTCATTGCAACGTTCTCGAGAACTCATTGCAGAGTGTTTACCAATCAGAATTTTGATAAATGACCTATGCAGGTGCTCCACAGCAATTCTGTCACTCTTTCTCATATTGCCGTAAATTATGCGAATGGGGCGAGTGCGTAGCTTGAAAAGCTCAACTCTAACACGAGTTACGTGTATTTTGTTTGATCTGTTGAACCTATAGTATCTGGCACGTACTACTTTTTATTGGGCCTGTTCGGAGTAATTGAAGGTAGACGAGTACCTAATTCCAAGATCTCGCTTGGACAACTGTGTAGAGATGCGTTCATTATTTAGAGTGATTGATCCTTCGGGGTTGCAGCAGCCGTAAAACGTGATGCTTGATTTTTATCCGAGAGATTCATCACCCATCATCAACAGAATGTAAATTTTCTTGATTGAGCGGTAATGTCCCGTGAAGCTCGTCATGCCGACACTTATAGACTAGTTTGATATCGTCAGCAAATAAAAATGACGTACCATGTTTTACAGCTGTGGTGATATCATTGATGCAGAGCAAAAAGAGTGAGGAACCGAGCACGCTCCCTTGAATGATTCCACTGGTGACTGAGAGTGGAGTAGAGCGCTAATCACCTAAAGTGACTACCTGATGACGATCACTCAGGTATGACGATAGCCAACCTAGTAATGAGTCCCTGATATCGAAATTCTCCGACTTTGTAACAGTCGCTTGTGCGATACTCAGTCGAACTCTTGGTGCATGTCAAGAACCAGGATTACTACCGCTTAGCCGGAATCCATTGATTCTGAAATGCGGTTAAGCTAATGCAGTTGACAAATGGTGCACGATCGCTTATTAAGAAAACCATGCTGCGAATTATTGATCAGGACAATGGAATCAACAAATTTCATCATCTCTACTCTGATCAGCTTTTCAAATAGCCGAGTGATTATCGGAGTGTGGTGGATTGGTCGGTGGTTATCAATCGTTTGTATGGGACCATCTTTATGCCAAGGCATAATAAAGGACGTTTTCCATTGGTCTGGAAAGTGGCTAGATTCCAGCGATAGCGTGAACATGCTCATCAGGAGCAATGGTATATCAGGTCCTCCTAGTTTAATGGTGGTTGATGAAATGCCATCAAATCCCAGCAGTCCTTTATGCCTCTTATTTGTATTTAACCGTTTTTGTCTTCCTGAGAAAATAAGGCTTCTTTGGATGATAAACATGACCGCATACTAATCCATTTACAAGTCCGCTGGACAGTCAGCTATATCCTGAATTCTAAGTAAAGGAAACAGAAGACGCTAAGTTTCCAACTGAGAGTCTTCGTGGTTCGATTCAGTCATGGTAACTATACCTCCGCACTGACTGTAGACGGTTGCTTTTACTGGTCGCAGTGTGCGGGCATATCTAAGAGCCGTCATTTTTTCCACAGATCACGCAGGGTATGTTGACAATTGTTTGTGCTTTCAACAGACCCATTCTAGCTCTGTGAAATCTAGGATAAGTTGGCAATTTTACCTTATATCTTTCCCCCTGTCACAGAGTGCAGTTCCGATGTCCCCATTCATGATGATGGAGGAAGAGGGGGAGGATCCCGTGCCGAGTTTCAGTTTGGACACGCACGAAGTGCAGGATCGACACAGAGTTTATCGGAAAGACGATACTGAATTGTCGCAATTCCCAAGTTTGTCCAAGTTTGCAAGCGTAAGCTCCACTTCGTTCGCCATACCCTCGCATTGCACCGATTTGACCGAAGCACCGTCTGTTTTTGAAACAGCTAACCGGCCCAATGGCAAACATAACCCAGTTGCAGTCACACAGTGATTTGAGCGGTACGATAACACCACAGAGAATTGCGCGTGACTGTGTTTGTATGCGTGTTGGTGTTGTGCCTCATCCTGAATCTGATGTTGCATTCATGATACTTCTTCACCGCAGCTGGGCTAAACCAATCTACACTTAAGCTCGTTCTTTTTAATCTGGATAAAAGTCATTCCACTTTCTTTGCTTTGTTTAATTCTGCTATTTTCCTGCAAATTCTGTGTCAATTTTGCGTGTTCGCTTTTCCCTAAATTCTGTGTTCATTGTTTGATAGCCCCGGTGTGACTGCACCTGATGTGAATGTTGACAAGGTGCCGACCTGTCTAACATCCTCCCCCTCGATTACTGGATCCAGGAGACTATGAATCCTTGCTGGGGGAGGGGTGCGCGTTCCTCGCGGCCATGCTAGGCTCAAAGAGTGGTTTCAGCCGATGTGGGGCGAACCGCGGCCCAACCACCCCCTTGTGTACGTGTGGTACTCATGATTCCCTACATACATAGACAGGAATGCTGCTTCTGTGCGTGTTGGAGTGTGGGCCGGCTCTGCTAAAGAAACGTGGTTCTTATTGGAGGGTCAAGTTTGGACTACACGTTGTGTGATTGGATTGCGACGCGCAATCTCAATGTACTGGACTGCGATTCACATTGAAGTGAACCTTAGTCACTGCGATCACTGGGACCGTACTCAAAGCAGATGGAAATTGGGTGTTGCCCACCCGAAAACACTGCACAACCACGACGCGTTTCGATGTAATTTCATTTCATCAGCTGAAGACAGCAGACTTTGATCCCGCGACCATTTGAATAGTAGCCGAAACCTCTACCACCTTTGGCTACCGTGGTTCTTATCCACACGCCTCCCGGTTTTGTTCCTTCTCGTTTACACTGGATACGGTGTGTGTAGATGGAGCTGTTGGTGGTGCAGCGCAAGCCAACCATAGTCCCTCTGTAGGCGCAAGCTTCCTGTGGAGGTCGCAGTGACAGGCAAATCCGGAACCGGATGCTACAAAACATGCGTGTTGGTAACCTGCTTACGATCACTCACGTTTCGGATCTGGGCAAACTGCGCTGATCCGATGCAAGAAAGATGGATCAAAACAGCTCTAAACTGAAGGTAAACGAGGATAAGGCCTTTCAATGAGCTTCGCTGCAACGTTCCCGATGATAATTCAACAGCATTCGAACAAGCTGAAGGAACCCTAAAACCCGCCATTGCTCTCTACTCTGATCCGGATGCGCAACCGTCACCCACTTAATTTAGTCTGCAGCATGTTCGCTCTACGTCACTCAGTCATACAGACATACTCTGACCTTAACATGCGAAATACACGGAAATCATGCGCGTACTCGGTTGCGTGGTGTGTTTCGATGCAGAACAGCTCCCAGAATCCTAACTGAGCACAGGACAAGCCGGTGTTGATACCTCTTACGTAAACATTCCCCTATAAATGGCTCCAGTTCGACGAATGCGGGAATGCGAGAATACAGCAGCTTGAGGTGATCCGGTTTCGCATGAATTGCCGTCACCTTTCAAGTCATACGCTGGGTTTCATCTTTGTCGTTGTTGACTTGACTCCTATTCAGAACGGACGAACCGCATTCCAATCGTAGAACAACCAGATGAATTCGATTCCTTACTGCCTAGGAAGTTTAATCGCCAGGCGTGTACACACGCGAGCTACGACGACAGACGAAAGCCGTTAACCCGCACGAATACACCAGAGACAGCGAAGAACTAGTGGCCCAAGGCAAGAGGTCGTTTACTGACTCAGCCAAAAGCGAACACATCTTATACAATTTCATGTGTATCTCAGCCGAAAAGAGCCTGCTCTGTCTGTTGCAGGAGTGTAGACCGGCTCCGTTGAGGAAACGTGACTTCCATCCACATACTTTCCTGTCTTATTCCCTCGGGTTTACACCGGATATGTAGTATATTTGGTACAGCGCAAGCCACCCATGGTCCCTCTTTAAGCACAGGTGTCACGTGGCCATCTTATGGATGCCGCATTGACAAGCAAATCCGGAATTGGGTGCTACTAACCATGCATAGCAAACTAATGCGTAAACTGCAGAGAAGCTAGGTAAAACTAAGCCACCGGAATCGGATACAGCGTCACTGATCGAGACCCAATGGAACATTTGTGTTTTACGGGTAAAAAAGCATTGCTTAACAAGTCGCATGGGATGGAAATTATTGCAAAAAGTGAATTGCATAATAAAGTGAATAGTGTTTTGGGGGACTTACCATAGACTTATGTAGAATGGCGGCGATGTTCGCATATTAAACGTATAAATCCATAAATCCATTGATTGGGAGTTTAGCAAGACACCGTTTGATTGCATTTTGTAGCCCCTGGCTAACAAGTCATAAAATGAAATGTAAACGAGACAATGCATCCTCAACTCATTTTTAAATATCGCCAAATAGGGGCCAGAGACGACATAATTAGGGAGGGCGTTCCAAGGCTGGCACACGCAGAGGAAACAGAAATTTCCTCGGCATTTAAGCCGGGTATACTGAATTGTCTCTTTCAGATAATGAGCTCTTAGGTTAGTGTTGTGGTTCAATTCCAACAGCGGACGGCAAATGTTGTTTGGGTTCTTCAGAATCTGGTAAACCATTATGAGATTCTCCCGCAAAAGCCGATATTGACTGCTGTACATTCTTAGAGATTTCAGTCTAAGCTGATAGGGGAGATCAAAGAGGCCGCTGACGTTCTTGGTTGCCCTTCGTTGAGGAGTCTCGAGAGCAACGAGATCCTGTTTATGCCACGGCTGCCATGTCTGAATAGCATATTCCACTTGAGGTCGCACGTAGGCGTTAAGCATTTGGGGAAATATTGATGATTCAAACCGACCGAAGGCTCTGCGAAGAAGGCCGAAGTGTTGATTTCCGGTTCTCATCGGCTTCTCTGATTGTTTACAACACCCGAGATCTTCCTGTACTAATACACCCAGGTCACGCTCCTGAGAAACCTTCTCCAAATTGTGGTCTCCAATCTTGTAAGCGCTCACCGGCTGGTGACGCAGATGCATCACTTTGCACTTAGCTATGTTCAATTGAAGCTTGTTCCTCTTTGACCATTCGTAAATGCAATCTAAGTCATGTTGGAGCAGATCCTGATCTGCCTTGTTACTAATCGCCCGCCATATCTTGACGTCATCGGCGAAAAGCAGGAAGTTTGAGGAGATGACTCTTGCCAGGTCGTTGATAATCACCAGGAATAAAGACGGTCCCAGCACTGAGCCTTGTGGAACACCACATTCCACCTCAATTGGGTTAGAGAGTGATCCCCTGACATGTACTTGAAGCTTTCGTTGGTAAAGGAAGTTGCCAATCCAACCAAGTACAGGATCTCCGATTCCGTAACTTTGTAGTCTTTGAAGTGGGATGCGGTGATCAAGGCGGTCGAAAGCTTTGGACAAGTCCAGATAGATAACGTCGACTCCGACCCCATCATCGGCCACTTCCGTCCAACTACCTCGTGCAATCAGTAGGTTGGTGGTGCAGGACCGGTGTTGACGGAAGTCATTCTGTTCCGGTACCAAGATGTTGCATTTTTCCAGATAGTCCATTAAAGCCTCAGCGACGACTGCTTCCATCACCTTCGCGAGCACAGGGAGGAGAGTCACTGGACGATAGTTTTCAGGATCTGAACTGCTACCGCCTTTAAAAATAGGGGTGATAATGCCACGCTTCCACATAGTGGGGACTTGTTGTTCATCAAATCACGTTTGGAAAAATGTGACAATGGTTCATCTTGCTTGTTGACCACAGCCTTCAGTGCCTTCGAGCGGGTGTTGTCTGCTCCCGGAGAACTATGATAACACAGTGAGAGTGACTTCCTTAGCATAATTGAGTGGTTGAATATTACATGTGTAAACAGTGGAGTCGGTAATGTGCATGACATTATGGGACTGGTAGAGGCTGCGGGTTCGAAAATTGGGGCTTATTTTAGCCGCAGGGCATTAGTTGCTTCTTCGGCGTTATGTACTCTACCGCCTTTCGTGAAAACTGGAGGGATTTCATGCTTCACTTTACGAATAGTATTGACATGCCTATTTAGCAGTTTGTTGTTTGCCATGAATTTTTTGGTTAGGCAGTGTTGATAAGTTACTTTGTCCTCACGGACAAGTGCATTACAATAGTTGCGATTGGTCAGGAAATTTCCCCAAGTCTCTGATTCGGGGTTAATCTTGTAGGCACGCCATGCTGCATCCCTTATCGCCGGGCATTTTCGAGTCCTGCTCCTTAGAATTGAAGGCATTTTTGCGGGACGAAGGGGTTTGGTCTCTGATGCTCTGTTGTCGATCTCGCTGAGTCCATCAACGAACTCTGTCTAAACGTTGTCAAAGGGACTGTTGTTTGTGAATTCCCAAGCAGCTGCGTCGGCGAGTTCTTTTAATACTTGATAATGTGTGATTGTACGAGTTAGTTCCGAGTGTTCAGATGGATACTCTGCATAATACATATAGTTGAACATTGTCACTACATGGTCACTGAGACCTGATTGACTATCCATCAATAATTTGTCAACCATGAGCTCTTCATTAGTGAGCACAAGATCCAATCTGGTCGGTTTATTTGCTGTCCTGAATCCAGTGGGCATGGTCATATGATTGTCCAAGGGAATATTAGCGATCAGTTCATACAAATCTGCTTTGAAATGTTCACTGGGTGATGCCGATACTACCAGATCATGTATATTGAAATCCCTGGAGATGAGAATGTGGTTGTACATTGTGCGTGTTACTCTGTTCAGGCCACTAATCAAGCGAGAATCCATCTCCGGAGTGGGCGTTGGGGGGGGGCGGTAAACGACAGCTACGAGACATGCGTCGTTGTGTCTTAGTCGGAGACGGCACCACAGTGAGTCGGTAAC